CCCCCCCCCCCCCCCAGTGTGCTTGTTGTGTGTTGCTCTTGAATCGTCGCGATGAAACAACGAACCAATCAGAGTCCTCCCCTTGAAATTCGTCAGGACACTACTCGTCGGCAACTGGCGACGAGTTTTGCCTCTTTGTTACAACCCCTTCCCTCTCCCCACTCTCCCCCATCGCGTGCGCGCCCGCATCGTGTGCCTCCTTTTATCAGTTGAGCGAGCTGAGCGCCGAGTTGGAGAACAAGTACCAGGACGCCAACCCCGATCTCTTCTCGCTTGGGGACGCGTTACACATACCCGCAATCATTCACTCAACCGTCATGCGCGTCGCATCTGAGGTCTCCGATGAGGGTCGGCTAATGGAGGGGTTAGCGGATCTGGGCGCGCGTTGGGAGCCGGCTACCGTGAGGGTCGGGAAGATCAGCTTGGTGTATGAGAAGCACCCTTACATGCACCTCAGCCGGGAGGGGGCGGAGGCGCGCTGTTACCGCCTCCCTCCCAATTGATCCGCCGACAAGGTTGAATGATGACGAAGTTCTGCGTGGCGGGGACCGTCGACAGAGAAGTTTCGCTGTTTTTGGAGCCCCGCGTGTGATACGTTCGTATGGCGTATAATGGTCAGCGCTTATTTTGAGACGAAGGCGACGTTGGCTCGCGTTCCGGGTCGTGCGTGGGTAGGCGTGTTTGCCGGCGCTTAATCCACAGGGTGTTGTGCCAACACGAAACAACTGCTGTGCGAGGCAATCGTGTGCCAAAACTCTCGATGTCCTGCCTGACCAACAAACGAGAAAACCTTCCCGCTATACACAGAAATATGCGTGCGTAGCTTTCGGAGGTTTCGCGGGACAGCTTTCGTTTCCAAGCAGGTCATGTTCGCAACCAAAGACAGTAGGACGTACCATTTTGGGACGCGGGGGCAAGTGATATGTTGTCCACCCACTTTCATCAGCGCGATTTTTTTACCGCCGCAGTGCGCGATGCACCACTTCTTGCAAGATTGAATGCACGCTCGCTAAAATCTTGGCAAAGCGTGAGTTTTTTTCTTGTTTTGTTTTTCTCCCATCATTGGACTCTGTCGTCTGCCCTTCTGGCCCCTATCCTCCACCTCTACTAGCTAGACGACCCAACCGGGGTCACATAGGAGGGGGGGGTTGGACCCCCTCCTGCGGTTCATGCCTGAGGTATTTTTATCGCGAGAAGGGTACAGCATGTCAAATCCGATCGACGCCGTGCTCACGACGCTCGTCGCTCGGGTGGGGAATGGCCAGGAATCCATCCCTACACACATTCGCTGGAAAAAGATGCAGCAACAACTTGCGTTACACCGAACACAAGAGCATCGCCCCTTTCCAGTCAAGGCGAAGGGAGGCGCGAGCTGACTGGCGGCGACAATCACGCAAAACGCCCCCCACACAAGCGAGAACCGAAAATCAGATTGCCCTGAGCCTTCTCTCGGTTGTGATTTTACACCCAAGCGTTCATTCTGCGCGCTCAGCGCGCAACAGGATGATATGTGCTCAAATTCTACGCGTGAGAGCTGCACTCGTGCTGAAACACTGGCTATGTCGCGCGGTATTCACTCGCGGCGGGGTTACAAACGCTCGTACAACAAGGCGGTAAGATTGGTAAGCGCAGTCCGCAAAAGACGCAACGACATGATCATCGCACAAGAAACGGGAATGCCCCAACTGAATGCTGTCAACAATCGCACTGGTCGTGCGAGGAGGAAATAGTGCTACCGTTCCATTTTCATCCTTTCTCTCTGCCCTATCCTTCTCCAATTATTACGCTATAAACAAAGACCTCGCATCAGATGCAGCGTTGCAACTGCCGCAGCTGTACCTAAAAAACCGGGCCGGGCGTTTGTAAAAACTTAAAGGTAAGAACGGCCCCAGCGGCCATCGCTTGGCGCCTTCTTCGCCCCTCCCAATCGCGCCGTCTAGGGATAGGCTCGTCTTCTTGTGCCCCCTTTCCCCATGCCGCCCCGTCCTGGCGTCATCAAAATCGACTAGAACAAATCTACATACGAAAATGAGCCTCCACACAAACTGGACTGACTTACGATGAGTGGCTGCTAATGTTATTTAAGCGACCAAGAAGAACGAGTGGGAGTCGTTCCCGCGCTTCTTGCCCAAGCAGATGCGGACGCTGAACATGCAACCGACGAAAAAGAACATGAGGGCGAAGCAGGAGGTGATCATGTTGAAGTAGCCCTCTTTGAAGGGGTCGCGGTCCTGTGCCCGGATCGTGCCAACGCCGGTGCTAACCTCGAAGTCTTCTGCTGCCGCCCCCATCATCTGAAGTACCGCCGCCACCAACACCAAGAGGTTGATCATCGAGGGCATCATGGTGGTAACAAATCTGGCTGCGGGGGGAGCGAAAAAAAATAAGGAGAGGCACACAGGGGAGGAGGTGGTATGTCATAACGATTGAGGGTGCAGCTGTGGTCCGGTTTGTTGTACGGGGCGAGGTCGGGGTGCAGCGGTACAGTCCAGCAAGTGCGCCTGCAGTTTCAATGCTTCGAGAACGCGGTAGGAACTGGACCCCTCCGCCGAAGTGCCGCTATGCTCCCAAAAAAAAATGGTTCTCTTGCCTGACACCCGCCGTTACACTGCTCACGTATTGCAAGCAAAAATTTAGACAAACAAGGGCTCCCATTGCTACTGTACTATCATGCGCATAGTATCATAGAAGCGATCGCAGGGGAGGACAGCAGTCGTCCCAACCACTTCCCCGCTGCCCGTGCACAAACTTTGCGTTGTGTGTGCCGTGCGCCTTGCGTTGTCTGGGACCCGACCCTCGGAGACGGGGAACGCAGAGATTTACATGACCACACCACTATCAGACCCGGCGCGATCAAGCAACTTGCACTCAGCGTAGGCGCTGCGAAGCTAGCTTTCATAACCGAATAGTCAACAGCTATGGCGTCTGGCAGCTACCGCCCGGTGCGGACGTGAAGTTGGGGCTGTCGGTTTGTTGTTGCAGCAGCAAAACTTGACGGCGCAAAAACGGAGAAAACGCATCATCACACGAAAATATGGCTCTTCCAGTTCCAAGAGATGCCCGTCGATAAAAAGATGCACAGCAGCATGAACGCAATCACGCACTCGGGCTACCCCGGTCATTCACAGCGACCCACTTGCCTATGTGTGTAGTGTTGTTGTCAAGAGAATCTTCAGCTGGCGCCGAGAGAGATTGCAGAAGAGGAGCTTGGTCGCCGAAACGCTTGACGTGGGGGCCCGTCAAACTGGTAGAAAGAAAATAGAAGAAGGTATTAAGGTAAATGATTAGAGAAACCACGTAGCCCCTCGAAGGAGAGAACTGGCTCAAACCAGCAGGACCCAGCAGAGCAGAAGATAGCACAGCAGTGCAACGGGTAGAGAAGACTCACTGGGGGGGTTAGAGGTATGACTACAAGAGAAACGGAAGGGTCTAGCTCACATACATTCTATGGGGACAGTGACGCGGATTCAGGTACAGGTTTGGAAGAAGAAGAGGAAAACCCTTTCCTTGTCGTCGACGACGGCGACGTCGGGCCAGAATGTTCCACAACAATCACGACTTCCCAGGATAATGCTGCTCCGCTTTGGCAACAACCCCTGCTCCCGCAACCTCCCAGCTCCTTCCCGGTCATCACCCCAAGCTTTTCGGGGGTGGAGACAGAGGTGGAGACCGAAAACGAGGATTCCGGCAATGAGTACGACGACGGACAAGGGCGAGTGGCACCAGCAGCGGCAGCAGCAGCAACATCAACAGCAGCGGGAGCAGAGGAGGGTCAGCAGCGGTGGTGGGTCGACCTGATAGTGCAACAGCTGCATCGATCCGACCCGCACGCCATGAGGCAGCTGCTCCGTAAGGCCGCCTTCATCCCTGCGTTTCTGCGCAAGGACGTCTGGAGGTTGCTCATCCTCGGTCGAGTCGAAGCAGGAGGAGGCAAAGACGAGGAGGGCGATGTTACTGCGCTCGACGCCGCGATTTTGTCGACAGATCTCGACCTGGAGAATCAACGGGTAGTGCGGGTTGACGTCGAGAGAACGAGGCCTGCACTGGACCAGTTCAAGAGACCGAGGGTGAAGAACCTGCTGGCAAGGATCCTCACGTACCACTGCAAGACGCACGGCTTGGGGTATAAGCAGGTGAGCAGCCCTGAACATGCAGAACTCATTGCTATAACCTGCCGGGTTTGCCCACATGCCTTCTGTTGCGTTTTCCACCCAAGTAGGTGACCAGCTCTGAATACTTTCAACTTTCATTGCGATGCATTCCTGCCGCCGGGAGAGTTGCCCGCATGCTGTCTGGTAGAAGTACAACTTGTACTTTCCCCTTGGGAGGTCTCGTAAGATTCATGGTTGAATGCGCAACGATATCTGCCTTGCACATACGCCGGTTTCTGGTTGAAACACGCCGGCCTGGTCTCCAATCAAAAGCCAAGATTTATATAGCAACACACAGCCCATAACAATTGACTCCACTGCTTTTCCTATTTGATGGATGTATTTTGGATGTGGTACATAGTCAAACGGCTGTGCCATCTAAATACATGTTTGTTTGTTTTTCGCAGGGCATGCACGAGGTTCTGGCGCCGTTCGTCGCCCTCTCTGATCCCGAGCTGCCGACTTCGGACATCTCGTTGTGCTACAGCGCCTTCCTCAGGCGCTTCCTCCCCTACGCCTTCAACCAAGACGAGGAGTTCCTCTCGTTGCAGGTACGATACAGCAGTAGTTGGCTTTACCCCACCCCACCACCGCACGATGTTGCAAGGTTGCTTGTTCTTGATAAAGTAGGTCTTGCTTCGTGGCTGCGATCGGGTACACTGACTCTGTGTTCTGCCCGGCGGGGGTCAAGTCTTGAGGTAGTGCACTCCCGTTAACGTAGTAGGCTCCCGTGTTCCTGCCACGTCGTATTGGAGGCACGACGGGGAAGTCTTTGCCGCTAGCTGGGAGCGCGTGGAACGTCAGACTCGACGAAGCAGGCGATATTTATGGCTTCCCCCCCCTCCAAAGCTTGGAGGATGGAAGCAGAAACTGTGGAAGGGAGCCAAGTTGGAGCTGCTGCTGTTTGGGATTCCAAGGGACATGACGAGGATAGAGTTCAAGAACTGTTGTGACAGGGAGGGACTGCACTGCCTAGCAAGGGGACAAGTAGGCAGAGAACATGAACACTTCCGGGTGAAATTGACCAAGGGAGACAGCCAAGAGTGCTTGGGGGTTGATATCGAGAAGCTGTCGAACTACGTAAGGAAGTTTGGATGGAGGGTTTGCATCGCGAACATGATAGAAACAGAGAAGGTAAGGAGACAAGAGGCGAGGGCGACGGAGGCGAAGAAAGGACCGAGCAGGGCAGTCGA